AAAGCATATATTTACATGATTAATGTTGATATACCATATTTACATAGAGTGGGACATAGGGGTATCTAAAGTAGTTTTTTGTTAATGAACAAATTTTTGGCCTGCTCTGCATTTCCACTGAATGACTTTTTCCTCTCTCCTTTCTTTTTTCCTAGGTGGAGAAGCAGTATTTTCTCATTTGAAGATGCATTTGAGGTAGCACGTGCTACCTGCTAATAGCAGTTCAAACTAATTTTTCTATCAAGTCCATGAATTGGAAGTAAGACGTTGGGTCCCTCCGAAGTTAAATTGAGTTTTCATTAAGACAAAATTGCTTTCACAGTCTTATTTCTTAATTGCTATGCTTAAGAACCAATTTGTTTTATGCCCCTTTCTCAGTATTGTAGCGCAAGTCTTGTGTTTAAAAGCCCAGTGTGACAGTGTCATGATGTAGTAGTGTCTTACTGGTTTTTTAATAAATCTTTTTGTATAAACGTGTATTGACTCTTCGTTGCAAGTCCGGAGGCACCTAAAACGAGCCACTTTTAAGCCCATCATGTGTTATTGAAGGAACAGCGATAATTAAGTGGTACGAGAGGATAAAGGAGATTTCTTTCATTTTTTTTTTATCAATTGATTTAATTTCTGCTTATGGAAAGCAGCTGTAGTCATCTTCTAAGGATTATTAACACCAAACTTAGCTTTCAGAGGACACCAGATGGTCTGTGTCGGACCCTTATGGTTGGCCCTGCGTTTTGAAAGGCCTCTTGGGCATTTAGCAAGAAATTTCACCTCTTACCTCTACATCAGAGCATGTAGTGGTGTTCTGAGTGTGAAGGGCAGAGGGTGTGCCCAGGCTTGGATGGCTCTACCTCCATGGAGGTAAGGGATAGGCAAGGCTCGAGGGGCAGCTTTCTGTATCATAGGCTGCCTGGTGGTGTCAGAAGGTGTGCAGGAGTTTTGCTTGTTCTTTTTACCTTCAGCAGCTGCTGTATTCTGGAGAGATGCTCAACTGTGTGTGGAACTGAAACCCTGGGATAGGCATTAAGCACACGCTGGACCTTCATTACAGCTGAAACTTGTAAAACGTGGGGTTACCTCCACACATGGGATTACCAATGGGAAAGGGGGCAGAAATGCAGTGTGGGTCAGCTTGTGAAACTTGTGCTGCAGTCTGTGCCTATCTTTCCAGTTGGCAATGTTGCATTTAGAGTGTCAGTCTCGTGCAGGACACCTGCTGGGAGCCTGTTATGCAGGTTAGATTGCTGCAGAATAATATTTACGATTTCTTGTTTCGGATCAAAGTTTGGTGTAATCTAACCAGTAGCCTTAAACTGCAGGCTGATTGCCTAGAGTTCCTTTCCCGAAGCAGCCAGGGAGTTCGCGTGGACGCCGTGTCGGGTCCTGTGTTGTGCCATGACGGGTATCCCCACAGAAAGAAGACGGAGCACAAGAATCGTGGTGCAGCCTGTAATGTTCCTAACTGGAAAGGTAAAGAAGGCAAGTCACACATCAATATTGGAACCCATAGCCTCTCAAAAGAACAAAGCTTCGTGTGGAAGTCGCCTGAAAATGCCCATCTGAAAACTTTGTTGATGAAAGTGATACAGAGGGGAAAATCTGAGAGTGCTCTCTCTGTTCACAGGCTTTATTTTATTATTTATGCTGTGCTGTACAGTACAGTTTACACTGTAAACTGTAACTTGTTTTATTGACCGAGCTGTTCGTTTTTGAGGTGTACAAATGGTTAGGCCCAAGTTGTGCTCCACTTCTGCTCCCTGGAGCAGTAGAGAGGGAGGTTTTCTAGTAATCGCACAGACTTAGTTAGATTGGAATTAGTGTTTTCTTCGTTACTGATAGGCAAAAACAGTAATTGAGTAAGTGTAAAATGGTACATTTCTGGAAAACACAAGGTTGTCTCGTCAGGTCCAGTAGTTTTAATCCTGCTTGACTTTGTGCTCCAAGCTACTGGTGATGATTTTTTTTCCTTGCATATTTTTATAAGATAATGTTGTGAACATAGGAACTTAAGGAAATTTTTTTTTAACAGTGAGGGTGCCAGAGCCCTGGAACAGGCTGCCCAGAGAGGTTGTGGAGTCTCCTTCTCTGGAGATCTTCCAAACCCCCTTGGACGCAGCCCTGTGCCACGTGCTCTAGGTGACCCTGCGTGTGCAGGGGGGTTGGAGTAGGAATGAGTGGAGTTGAAGGAGCTGTTTCAATTCTGCTTCTAATACTTGGTGGAATTGTGTCCAGGTTTATACAACAAACCCTTCATGACCATTGCTCTGAAATTCTACGTAAGTTCAGGTCATGACAGGATTTATATAATTGGATTTCTGGAGATAAAAACACCACTCCTTAGGTTTTTGTGATCTTTCTGCGTTCAAGTCATGACAGGATTTTTGGAGATAAAAACAACACTCCTTAGGTTTTTGTGATCTTTCTGTAAGTATTTTGGATGCAAAGAAAAAAGTAATCACACTTACTTTTCTTTTTTAGTCAGTTCCTGTGACGCTCAAACATGGCAATGGCAAAATCACTAACTTTGCTGGCATCTGGCTGAAGTATCTAGTTGTCCATACGTCTTAGCTGAGCAGATCCAAAGATCTGCGGAACGCAGTCATTTAATCTCTGCACAAATGTCACTCGTCTTCTCCCAAGGGAAAATGGTACCAGGCTTTCTAGGAGCTTAGGGTATATTCTCCTTTAGGAAGGGAAGCCGGTGGAGAATATTGGGTTTAAAACTGTAGTGAGAAGAATGATCAATATTAATAGAAGAAGGAGAATAATCATAATGCTGGATTGTCTTCTTGGAAATCCCCATGGTTTTAAGTAAATCTGAGCTAGAAAACAAATGTTGAGAATGTGGTAATTCTAATGTGCCATAATGTGCCCTTTCCAGACAAGCTTATGTTATAGATGGGCAAATAAGGTCCTGCCTTCGGGATCTGAACTAGTGAGAGACCATTTTGAGGATGCAATGTTTATTGGCCGTCAGCACACAGTGGATGCCTGATAATGTGTAAAGCCCCAGGAGTACGAAATGTGCCAAAGATATCACTGCATATGGTCCAGGAAAATTCTTATTTTTTGAAGCTCCTTCCCTGTGTGGATACCACTTTCCTAGATGGTTTAAAATAATTTTGATGTGTTTGCTACCAACCTGAAAAGATCCAATCCTACCTCTGCTACCAGCTGTTGCTTCAGCATAACCGCGAATGCGAAGATGCCTCGATAACGATTCTCACCCTTAATCCTGGGGAAAAGAGGGACTGATCTACCTTTGGAGCCAGGAAAGGAACTGGGATTTAAATGGTAGCTAAGGCAAAGCTCTGCCTCTTTTGCCTTTAGAGCCAGGTATGCAGCAGATGTCACTTGTTTGGCACTTTGCTGGCTTTTTGTTGCAAGAAATTTTTCATTTGCAGGTGCCATAAGTGGAGAGAAATTCTGAAATTGGGATACTGTTGGTGGTGCTTTCAGGACATTTTGTGGGCATAGATGAGCTCATGAGGTTGGTTGCTTTGCTTAGGATTGTCATTTAATGCCACCCTGTAAGTTTGCAGAGATAGCACTGGCTTGTGGAAAGCACATTCGTACCCGGATAACCTTGGAAAACATCACTTTTCTCTGTAACTGAGTCTAATTTTATAATGGAAGAGGAAGCCTCAAGTCTAGTGAAGCCTGACTACACTAGTAATTGAATTAACCATGTCCTGAAAAAAAAAAGCTCTCAGTAGCAGACAACACGGCTGAAATTCAGTTATTAAATGTTTGCAGCAATTTTCCAGGGTCACTTTAGGTTTCGAGGGCATGCCATTTAGCCCGTAACTGCTGCCTAAGAAGGGCTTGGGTTTCCTGCACACCCTGGTCATAACGTGCCAGGACCCTGCACATGCTCTGGATAGTGCGAGGTGGCGGCTGAGACGGGCAGGGGCCTCGAGCTCCGTCTCTTCGTCTCCGTTCGAAGAGGCTCCGTCAAAGCAAGGCCGGATCCCAAAGCAAGGCCTGATGGCTGCCCACGTGCACACCCTTCTGGTAACCAGGAAGAGACTCAAGGTCGTTCGTTTTCCTCTCTGAAAGAAGAAAAATCTGTTCTGCAACAGCTTCAAGTTTTTCTGGAGATGGTTCTTATGGAGTAGCTGATATGTTGTAAATGTACACCTGTGCTCCCTCTGTGTTGCACGTGTATCACTTCCCTGAGCTTAAGCAAGGAGACATGAATAGAGCTAGTTTTTACATTAGCTAAAAACAGTGAGTGTGAATGAAGTCAGTAGTCAACTGTATCCAGTAGTAGAAGGAAATGTGCAACTGGTATCAATTTGTTCAAAATTTTTACTTATAACCAGAATGAAAGTCTAAGAACAGGTTACGTGAACAGTTTATATCCAACACGGCACTCGTGTGAGCTGCTCATAGGTGCTCGGGCATGAACTGATTGGGCATATGTGAAATGACCGGGTGCTCATGTATAAGCTAACGGTGGGCTTGTGCGTGAGGTGTTTGGGCACTCAGACATCAGGTAGCTGAACGCGGATGTGTGAGCTGTGTCTCCTCCCGAGCACGGAGCCTGCAGGCGCTGCGGCACCGGGACCGTCTCTGACCTGCGTCTGCTCTGCAAGAAGCCCAGCGACACCCTGTTCTGTCAGAAGTGCCCCCAGACGATGGAAATGCAGCTAATAAATCCAGGATGTGCTGATGCTGCCCAGCACC